GTTATTCGTGGGTGCCTAAACGCAAGACTTGTTCATTGAAGGGATATTTTCAACTTGATTTGTGTGAAAAATCCGGCGGCGGCTCGTGGTGGCTCAAAAATTATGGGAAATTTTTTGGTGAGATTTTGAGGTTTTGTTTGGTTAGATGTAAAGTTCCTTGAAAAAGAAATACTTTGGTGGTGTCGGAATTGCGAGAGGTGGTAGGAGTTGGCCGGAAAATGGTCGGAAAGCGGCGAGTTGGGTGGTGGTGGCGCCCCTAGACCCGGCGATGGATCGGAGTAAACTTCAGGTGGGGTTTGTAGAGCACGGATGAAGAATGGTGGTGGTCTCGTCGTATTCCGACCGGTGGAACTCCGGGAAATCAAATTTTTGTGAAAAGTGGGTTTATGTGTTCTTGAGAGTTTGAGAGAGAATGAGGGGGGTTTTTGAGAGAATGAAATGAAGAAAAAGAGTTGCTGGAGGTTTTCAATCCGTATTCAAGTGTGGTCAACACCCAGTCAATGTTGGTCAACTCATTAAACCACCTGGTCAACGAAAGTCAAAGCTGGTCAACAAAATATGGGATGGTCGTCAAGGCAGCACGTGGGTCGTGCAGAGGGGGCGCGCGGGTCGCGCAGATCATGCAGTTTGGTCCCTGGTTTTTGTTGCAAGTTGAAGACCGGCCGCGCACACCAGCCGCGCACCCGTGCGCGGGTCGCGCAGACCCCTGCTCCCGGAAATCGATTTTTCTCTGTTTTCTTCCGTTTCTTCACTAGTTCTTGATCCCAAATGCCCCAAACACCTAGAAACTCTTGGTTTCTTCAAAAATGACTTCAAAAGACACATCAAAACATTTTCAAAACTTCTTTATTCGAATGTAGAAACACGAAAGCATAAAGCTTTTCCAAAAATGCCTCTCTTTAACGTCTTAGGCGAGACGTCCTTCTAGCTTGGTTCAACACTCCGGGACATCCAAGTGGATGACTTCAATAACACTTGCATTAAAACTTTCATAGAATGGCTTTAATCGGTGCCCGTTAACTTTGAAAATATGTCCCGTTTCTTCACTTTGGATTTCCACCGCTCCATGGTCAAAAGTCTTTATTACAACAAATGGGCCAATCCACCTTGATCTTAATTTGCCCGGGAATAACTTCAACCGTGAATGGTAAAGTAAGACCCTATGTCCCGGTTCAAAATTCTTCCGGGTGATGGACTTGTCGTGGAAGAGCTTCGTTTTCTCCTTATAAATCCTTGCGTTTTCATAGGATTCGTTTCTCAATTCTTCTAGCTCTTGGAGTTGAAGTTTCCTATGCCTTCCAGCCTCGTCAATGTCGAAGTTGCATTTCTTGACCGCCCAAAATGCTCGGTGCTCTAACTCGACGGGAAGATGACAAGATTTTCCGAAAACTAATCTGAAGGGCGACATTCCAATCGGGGTCTTATAAGCGGTCCGATATGCCCATAAGGCATCGTCAAGTCTCAAACTCCAATCCTTCTTTGTCGGATTCACCGTTTTCTCTAGAATAGACTTCACTTCACGATTCGAGACCTCCGCTTGACCATTCGTTTGAGGGTGATAGGCAGTGGAGACACGATGAGTCACGTGATACTTCTTCAATAGAGCCTCCATCATTTTGTTGCAAAAGTGCGTCCCTCTATCACTAATCAAAGCCCTAGGCACACCAAATCTCGCAAAAACATTAGACTTTAAAAACTCGATAACCGTTTTGGCATCGTCCGATCTTGTGGCTTTGGCTTCAACCCATTTAGAAACATAGTCAACCGCAGTAAAATATAAACGTTGCCAAATGATACGGGAAATGGGCCCATAAAATCAATCCCCCATACGTCAAAAATTTCACAAACAAGGATTGGATTTTGGGGCATTTGGTTCTTTTGCGAAATGTTTCCCGTCCTTTGGCACCGCTCACAACTTTTGCAAAACATATAACAATCGCGTGACATGGTTGGCCAAAATAATCCACATTCAAGGACTTTTCTCAAAGTCCGGCTAGGTCCGAAGTGTCCCCCACAAGCAAATTCATGACAAAATTGCAAAATGGATTGGTGCTCTTGTTGGGGCACACATCGCCTAATGATTTGATCGGGACAATGTTTCCACAAATAAGGTTCATCCCACACATAGTATTTTGCATCACTTTTCAACTTGTCTTTTGAGCACGCTGAATGTGTCGGGATACCTTTTTGTGACCAAAAAGTTAACGATATCGGCATACCAAGGAATAGATTGGGTAAGGGAAAAGAGATGCTCATCCGGAAACTCGTCCCGCAATGGGAGAGGAGTTTCATTTGAAGTGATCCGACTTAGATGATCGGCAACGAGGTTCTCGCATCCGCTCTTGTCCCGGATTTCCAAGTCAAATTCTTGTAACAGTAGGATCCACCGGATGAGTCTCGGCTTTGCATCTTTCTTCGTCATCAAGTACTTAAGAGCTGCGTGATCCGAATACACTATGACCTTGGTACCAAGTAGGTATTGTCTAAATTTCTCCAAGGCGAACACTATGGCCAATAGCTCCTTCTCCGTGGTAGAGTAGTTGCTTTGGGCATTGTCTAGTGTCCTTGATGCATAATAGATCACATGGGAGGCCCTCCCATTCTTTTGACCCAAAACGGCGCCAATCGCATAGTTGCTTGCATCACACATGATCTCAAAAGGGAGATCCCAATTTGGTGCTTGCATGATGGGAGCGGATGTAAGCAACTCTTTGAGCTTGTCAAAAGCTTCTTTGCACGCCTCATTGAACTCGAAATCGACCTCCTTTTGCAAGAGTTGGCACATTGGTCTTGTTATCTTTGAAAAATCCTTGATGAACCTTCGGTAGAAACCTGCATGGCCCAAAAAAGAACGAACTTCCCGAACACAAGTCGGGTAAGGTAAGCTTTGAATAACATCAATTTTGGCCTTATCTACCTCAATTCCTTTTTTAGACACAATGTGACCCAAAATGAGACCTTGACTCACCATGAAATGACATTTCTCAAAATTCAAAACCAAGTTTGTTTCAATGCATCTTTTTAAAATTTTTGTGAGATTAGTCAAACATTCTTGAAAAGAGTTGCCATGTACCGTGAAATCATCCATAAAAACCTCAATTATGTTTTCAACATAATCCGAAAAGATACTAACCATACAACGTTGGAAAGTGGCCGGGGCGTTACACAATCCAAATGGCATTCTCCGGTATGCAAAAGTACCAAATGGGCATGTAAATGTTGTCTTTTCTTGGTCCTCCGGTGCCACCGGGATTTGGTGAAAACCAGAGTACCCGTCTAGACAACAATAATGGGATTTCCCGGCCAACCTTTCTAACATTTGGTCAATGAAAGGCAATGGGAAATGATCTTTTCGTGTGCTCGCATTGAGTTTGCGGTAGTCAATACATACTCTCCACCCGTTTTGCACACGGGTGGGGACCATCATACCTTTG